AAGCTTCGTTTACATATCAGTAATTATCTCTAATATTGAAAACTACTCAAAATCTATTAATAGTATATATTTTAAAAGTTTTTAAATAAAATTTCGTTTTAATGTATATTATAAAATAATTAAATTTTTTATAATCTATAAGCTTGAGGTAACTCTATAAGTCTTCATGGTCAACATTTTTCTTCACGAAATCAAATAAATGTAAACTATATTCTTCTAATTTCGTAAAAAAAATAATTTCCATTTCTATCAAAGACAACAAAATCTACAATTACATTTGACATTGCAATCTAGTAGCAGTGCAATGTTTGAAATACATAAATCCTATATGATTATCAATTTACATGAATTCGACATATGTATAGTTGATATAAATATAGCTTGATATTTTTAGAGCTTTTGTAATAGCATATATTGTCTATTTGAAATAATCATAAAAAAATTTGATTGTTGTAACTTAACTAAGTAATCAATGAATTAGTATCTATTGTCTTTATTAACAAAAAATAATGTTGCATTTTCAAAGAAGCTTAATCTAGCAATATAATTTAGATACTATTATTATATGGATACATAAACAAACATGAATTAGGCTTAATAAATAAATAAAAATTCCGTTACATAATAATCTTATTTAAATAATTTAAGAATTTGGGCTATTTAACCACCAGATTGCTATACGTATATAATTTGTTTATGTCTCATTATGAACTGTAGTTTCTTCCTACAAGAACTAGATATCTTCTTTTTATTAACTACAGCTAGTAATCTGCGAATTTTTATTTCACAAAATTCGATTACTTCATATTATTTTTAAAAAATTATGATTTATATAATTAATCTTATCTTAAAATTTTTCTAAAAATCTATTATCCAGTATTCTAAATGAATATTTAAATGATAAAAAAATGTTAATAATAAAATTTCATGCAAATGATTTTTAATTAATATTATTATTGAATTTATTGATGATAAATAAATTAAAAAATCCTTTTATGGTATATTAAACTTAATTTCCTAATATTTATACGATATTTTTACAAAAAGAAAATCATAATATGTTTAATATTAAACATAATATACTATTTATTCAATGAAATATTGAATTATATGGTGAAATTTTGTTTAAATTATATAATAAAATTTTAATATTTAACACAATATTTAAAAGTGCATTAAAATATAATGGTTTAAAAACCAAATTTACACAATTCATATTTTAAATAAATTTAAATAGATAAAGTACGAAAATACACATAAAAAGAGATTTCTGTTTTCATCTATTATTAAAGAAATATTGACGGGCAATATTATTTGCTTTATTGGTTACAGTTTAATTTAAATTATGAATAAATCTATGTATATTTGCCCATCATAATTTAAAATAGAACGATTATATTAAAATTTCTGACAAAGAAACTTGAGAAAAATATATTATAATTGATTTATAAGTTTTCATAATTAAGATAAAAGTAAGATTTAAGTTTTTAAAAAATGTTATTGTTGTCCTATACTCATAATGAAATAGTTTCCATATGAACAGTTAAATATGAAATCTAAGACATATTTATTACATAATTATTATTATAATACTTTCCTTTTTTCAACATTATTCACTTTAATAGCAATTGTGACAAAAGTAATGCACATCTTAATCTTCACAAATTTATATTCGCAGAAACTTTTTTGCTGTAAATAATTGATTATTATTCTTGAAGTTTCTTTCAAATTTACTTTATTTGAAACTTACAAACAAAAATCTGTTTAAGTAAAATGTAAAAATAAAATTTAAATTTTATTTAAAATTTTTTTAAATAAAGAAATTACTTTTTTTATCACACTTATTTTATTTATTATGAAATCTGTATTCTTATGTTTAGTGATTATAAATATTTTATAATATTGACTTTGTTACCAACAATGCGAGAAGCATTATTATTAACAAAAGGTTAGAACTCTTCGATTCATATATGAAGTAGTTGGTACCGGTTTACTCGATCTGTGCTGGCGTGTACTAGTAAAGGTGTAACTCATTTCCTTACCCCACATCGAAAATCTCAAAAAGCTTTTCATAAGACTCAAAATAATGAAATTCAAATTATTGAAGATGTTAAGTGAATTAGTAATCAAGTAAATAAAAACATTCACAATTTAGTTTAATAATTTTCGTTGAAGATTGTATTAATTAAATAAATTGGAAATAAAATCAAAATGAGTGTTACGATAGACGATAAAGATATTATTGAATGTTATACAATTATTTTATAATTATTAAAATATTATTTTTTCATAATATCACATTTCTAACATAAATTATAGTTTTATTTTATTTTATCTAGAAAATAGCTTTAGTACTTTGGGATGAGAAACTTTAAAAATTGTATTTCTGAATGATAGAACATACTCTTGATTTGATTAATTATTTGTTTTACAGTCTTGATTAATATTTTTCAAGTACTAAAATACAATTAAATACAGTATCATAGATTTGTCAAAATTAACTTCCACTAAGTTTTTTTTAATAGATATTGTGAAGATTGTATATGTATATTGTTTTTTTATACTGTGTTCACTTTCTCGAAATAAAAACAAATAGATTTTATTCACTTTGTTAGTATAATCAAACTAGATTATGTTAAGTATATTTTGCCTGAATTTATTTTTAATCCTTATTTCAATAGAGTAATACCTTTATTTACTTAGTGTTGACTTTTTCGATAATCTACAACAATAGTATTTTCATTTATTATTTATATTATGGTATAATATGAGCCATTCCAACTGATTATAATCATCATTATATGTTTCCCTAAATCTTTAAAAAAATCTATATATTGAAGTTTTCGATTAATATAACACTTTATTTTCTACATTTCCAAAAAATAATGCGATATCATGTTATAATTTTAATAAATTCTTATATTAGATGTAGCCTAGGCATCTCTATATCTCCTGCTTATATAGTTATGTATATTGATATCTAATTGATATTCTAGTTCTCGTGTCTAAATTACAGAAAATTAAATTCATATTTTTTATTCAAATTTTTTTTTAAATAAATTCTTTCGGAAAGTTCCTGTTATATATTACAATTTTTAAAAATTTAATGTAAGTGTATACAGTTAAATATATTTTCTTATTTTTATAGTAATGGATGAAAACAGAATTCTGTTTAAAGCTTTAATTAATTAATAAATTATGATTACTATTTTTATATAAAAATCACACTACACGTTATAAAAAAATATAAATAATTTATAATAAAATAGACTTACTTAATAAAACTTTTATTAATTCATGTTATTGAAGTACTCTTTAATATTTCGAAAAGTGTATTTATAACTGCCATAAATATATTAATTTAACTAAGAAGTATTGAAATTTTGGAAACTTTTACCGTTTTAAAATCGATTTTTATCATTGATTTTATAAATTTTAAAATAAATGCAATACATTCATATTAATTTTCTCATTATTTCAATATAATGTTTAAATAAAATAAATAAGTTTTAACGTTTTTATTTGTTAATTGCCTCTACGTGTTCAATAATCGTATATATATGCCAACTTTAAATAAACAAATAAATTATATAAATTCTATAAAATTATTTTATAGATTTATATTAACATTTCGATTTGTGTTAAATTTTTTAACTTTTAGTATCTTTATGTATATTACAAAATATATATAAACCTATAAATAACTACATGTGATACACGATTACTTTATACACAATTGAATACACATATTGAAGACGCATATGAATTGTACATTAATTATTAATTCATAAAATATCAAAATTATTATTAATAATTATTAAAGAAAATAATAATAAATAAATAATTTAGTTATTATATTGCACAAATTCAAGGATTATTATAACATCTCTATCCATATTTAAATTATTAAATATCCAGAATTAAATTTAAAAATGAAAAATTTTGTTAGTATTTTTTTTTTTTTTAATATAAAGTGATATATTTAGTCTTTTTATGTTTTTATCAACATTTTAAAATTTATGTTTGACTTTACTTTAATATATATATAATACTATTTCATTTTATATCATGCTTTTCACTGTACATATTATTTATACGACATTTACCTTAATTATATATAAATAATTTGTAAAGAATAGTATATTAGTCGTATAACGTTTAAAGGTAGGTCAATTTTTTTATATTTTTTATAATATTTCCATTGAATTAAATTTATAGGATATTTTAAATATTATCTATATATGTTAATAAATTGAATGTTAAAGTAAAATTTACAATAATATGATATTTCAAAAAATTCAAATTTGCATAATGATTTGATGAATGATATATTTTTAAAAATAACGCAGACCAAAATAATATTAATTTATTATTTGGAATCGATTCAGTTTATGGTTTTAAAATAGTTTTACAAAGATATTTTATATACCAATTGTAGCAAGATAAAATGAAATTATGCGTTTTTATTCTTTATCTAAGCAAGTATACCGTTGCAATATTTGCTGATGCTGATGGTATTATTATTCGGATCTTTAATGTCGTCTTCAGCATTAGCAGTAGCAGTGTGGCGATCGAGAAGTGAGCTAAGAGGGGGCATAGTGCGCACATGTGCTTATTCTGTTGTTCATGGGTCAACGGGGGTGAAGGAGGGGGTACCGAGTTCTTTCGTGAACCATCACTATTCCTGAGCACTTCTGTGTATTCGTTCGCGGTTCTCATTTTTTTCTTATCATCAAAAAGTGATCTTACAATTCAATGGTAATCGAAAATTGTATAAAAAATCTTTTTAATTAATTTATATAATAGTTATATTTCATGTACAGTCTGAATTTCATTTCGAATCCGTTTATCACAACGTAACGATTGAATAAATTGCTACCGAGATATAACAACAGCATTTTTTACATTTTGAGGATTAACGTGTCGGGGAAATTCAAGAATTCAAGTTATTAGTAAAAATACACGTGCATGCATGCATACACTCACTTATATGCATGCATACGTGTGTTTGCGCAAGTGTGAATTTAGCTAATTATAAACTACTGTATATTTATTCATCGCAACTATAGTGCGCATACTCACCCACAATCGTGCATATATCGATTTAAAACACGCATGCTGTCGATTATGTGAGTGTACAAAACCACCACGCACATGTTTTTACCCACGCTTACAGATTCATATGCATTTATATATAGATACTAAGAAGTGATATAAGAGACAAGAGTTGAAAAAATAGAAAGATTGCTCTTGTAGAAGAGGTGCATATAATATGTGCGTGAGCAAACAAGTGAATAACAAAAAGTAAGTAAATAAGAATAAGAAAAAAGAGAGAATAAATGTGCATGTGTAAATAAAAGACAGAGATAGATAAATACAGGGATAAAACGAAACAGGGTTCCCAAGTAAAGAAATTAGTGATATCACAGTATTACGTAGCCCTTTAGATTGCATTGACTTAATAGTTTTTAGCATCTTCTGTACTACATTACTAAACAATACCGGACCGAACCTCTTGTTTCAAGTTCCTTATTACAGCTCGCTACAGAAAATGTCGCGTAAGGTGAACGAAGATATTCTACCTGTACATGGAAGCAACTTTAAGGTAATTTTGTTTTGTATTATGCATTTTTATCTTTATGCAATTTTTTTCAAATGTTAAAATATTTTGCAATTTAATAAAAGATTTCTTAACTTTAAATTAAATTTATTTACCTGCGTCTTTGATTTAATTGATAAATTTTAAATTGTGAAGTTCAACCTTTCGCAGAAACACAATTTTATGAGTTCAGAACTAAATTGTAAAACTATATAAATAGCCGATATTATTTTGATTGTTATATATAAATATAATAATTATTTATTATTGTACCAAATATAACTATAATTTAAAAATATAATTATGAAATTTATAATAGGCATTGCAGTTTCAAAATTATATATATATAAAATATGTATTATTATATCATGCAATATATAATTAAATGATAACGATTTTGCTATTATAGGAATATAAACTATTTTATATTGTTTTAATACAACTTTCCAAGATATAGTATAAATAATTTTTATTCATTTTTACGTCACCTTCCATATTTAAAATTATATTGAAGCACCCTGTTTCTAAAGTTATCAGCGAACAATGTATGTTACAAAAAATTCACGATTTACACTGTATGTTGATTCTGTATTTATATACAAAACTTTTTCATATTGTTAAATTTTTATACTAAATAATTTGTATTGTAATTAATAATAAAAATATTATAGTTTCTTATATTCTATTAGTATTAGAAGAAATAAATTATTTATTTATTTAAGGATTGGATATTTATTCTCATTATATATCGATAAATCATATGTACCAATAATACATTTTTTTTCATTTAATTTATATTTCATTTTTATTTAATCAAACTAAAAATTTTTATAAATTCGGATTTATTGTTAAATCGCGGAATATACAAATATAATTATTCTGGTATTTACGGTTACTATATAAATTAATATAGAAGTTAGTTAATTCTGTATGTTGACGATCAAATTATTTTATTTCTTAGATTGTTTTAATATCCTTATTCATTTAAAGAACATAAGTATTCTTGGCTCTTTCTATGTTTTATCTTTTCTTGCTGTGGTATTATTACTGTAAATAATAATATATACTACATAGCATATATAATCAATTATTACCCTTCAATATTTTAATCATCTTTAAGACTCTAAACCAATACTTATACTGTGACGAAATTGATTTTGTCTTTTTCAAATTCGTCTATTGAAAGCCTGAACATTAATTTTGGTAAATTAATACTTTTTTAGAAACAGAATTTGGCATATTTATGGTTATTTGTAAGAATTTAAATGTATATTACATTAATAAGGCTGTTTATAGCATTTAATTGGAATAGATTTATTTAAAAATACCTTTTATATGTAATAAAATTTGTACACGATTAAAAATATTAAAAATTAATTATTTTCAAGAATTATTTTGTAAAAACTTTATTTTACATTTCAAATTAATTCGTTACAAATTAATAACATAAAAATTTATGAATATAATATTAATTGAAAATAATTAATACTATAAAGATAAGCTAAACCATAAAAAATACAATAAAAAATATAATTTTTATTAGTAATGATAGTGATCTAAAAGTTAATAAAATATTTGTAAGCACTTAAAATTTACAATAGAAAATAATTTTTTAATATTGTAATTTAAAAAATTTCGTTTGTTATGTTGATTATACTGTTTTTAAATTATTATTATTTCCATTAAACATAAAAAAAATAGTGATATTATTTATTCGAATAATATAACAAAATTAATGATAAAATTTCATTCAAATTACATTGAATTCTAATTTCAATTTGCATACATTTTCAATTATTTATCATAACTCTTTATTTTAAACAATAAGTTAATAAATTGTAATATGTTATACACTGTTTTATTTCTGAATGATCAGTAGATAATAGAATTAGAATATTAAAAACAGAAATTTATATTACTTAACCATTATTAATTTCACGGAAACGAAATATTTGTCTCTTCATAATGTGCATTTTATAATTTTATGGGTATAAAATAGCAAAAAATTTGTAGCACCCAATGGAAATTTCCATATCTTTAGCATTCATTTCAAGCATCCTTTCTCCCCTCTTTTTCTTTGCGTCATCTATATTCATTTTGCTTTGCATGCGTGTTCCCACTACGATTATCGTATACGTATACGAAACATATGAATTAATATGTTCGGATTTGTAATACGTACAATACTATTCATTTAACATATCATTTAAATTGCATATATATGGAACCAAGAATTATTATGTAATAGGTGTAACACAATAATTAGCACAATTTGTTTCTAGCTTTATTTTAAAAAATAAAAATTAAATTAAATCTTAAAACTACAAATTTTAATTTCTTTTTCATTATTTGGAATATTTTAATTATGATATTATGGATAAACGCATGTAACTGTGGTGATCATTTCATTTACATAAATGTACCTGCATGAGATCTGACTGGAAAAGTCAACGAATGAATAACTATAATTTCGAGCAAATTAAAGGTATACGAATCAATTCAAGTATCGTCAAATATATTTTTACCAATCGACATAATAATATCTCTTTTCAATCAACAACGTATTGTTATGTAATCGTTGTTAGTAATTGATTCACATTACAATATCACGTATATAACATATTATAAATAAATAAATATTTATAATAAAAACTAAAACAAACATACATAATATTTTTAATAAAAAATTATATAAATATTTTATGATTCAGATGACATAATAAAAAAATAATAAATTTATTATCTATTCAAAAAGTAAATTGTAAAAAATATTCTCACAAAATTATTATAAATAAAAGATTACAAATTTAAAAGTTAATCCATTATTTATTTTGCCTATACGTATCATAATGCCAGATAGTTTTCTTGAAGTTATGTGTGTGCATGCACGTGTTTTATTTTCCACGTATGTATATATATTTCATATTCATATTTATTTATTCATTTTCTTTCGATTCATAAAATTTATGCTAATATAATGTATTTTCATTCATAATGCGCGTAACTAATGTTTTCTTTTAGCAGATTTTATCGATTTAATAGTATCGTTAATATTAAAAATATAACAAACATAAAATATAACGAATGAATTATTCAGACTAAGTTTAATTTATCAAAATGAAATACTCTATATACTTTTTGTAATAATATATTTCTAGAATATCAATATACCCTAAAAATGTGTTAAATGTATATTTCAAATACGTTAAAAGTTATATATTTATTGGAACGTATTTAAATACTTTACAAATTTTTAAATCTTTACGTTACTTATTTTTCAAATAATTTACTTGAAAATTTTACTTAAGATTCGCTCTTTTTAAAAGGATTTTTTAAATGTATTTTTTCAGGCAATAAAGATTGTTACAATAATAAAAATAAAAATACAAATAAAATATCTTATTTATAAATATATAAATTGAAATGAATATGATTTAGTTATACAAATCTCTTATAATATAAGAAGAGGGAGGCATTGAATATCAAAATTAATTTAATTTTGATTAAATATAATTTAATATCATATAGAATATTATCAAAGTATATATGTATATCGTTTTAAAAATTTAATATTATTCATGTTAAAATATAAAGTATATTTCATGGTATTGATAAGAAGTATATATTATATATCAAATTAATTTTTTTATAAAAATAGTATTAATTAACTAACCTTGAATATAATTTTCAAGTAAGTTACGTAGGCGTTTTAGTTATACTAAATTAGAAAAGTATTTAAATTAACCACATTCTTGTTTGAAACCATTTTTAATTAACAGAAATCTAAAATAATTTATATTTTATAGTAAATAAATTGTACATTTTGCACACAAGTATGTTATTATTTTACAATATTTTACAAAAAAAAGTTTTAACAAAGCTCGTTTTTTCTTATTGCAAAATAATTTTTAAAATGATTATATATAATAATATGAATACTACATAATGACATGATAATTTATATAAAAATTTATTAGATAATAACATATATAATATACGTAGATACTACATAAATACATACATATAGTAAATCAGTACGTTGTGTTTTATCCATTTTATCTTATTTTTAAAATATCCAAATTACAAATTTCTTAAGATAAATATTATTGTAGTTTATAAATTGATTATATTTCTAAAATATTAAGAAAATATACGATATATGTTTTGTGTGTAAACGTAAATCTCTCAAAAGTACAATGACTTACGTCAATACATGTATTGATTATTTCTTTATTAGAGTATCTTTTTTTATATAGACTGGAGTTCTTTGTATATGGAAATTCTTACATATTTAATACTTTTAAGACCGATCTTAGAATATATATATAAATGCCACTATTTGGATCTTAGATGAAATCCAATAATACTGATAAAGTGTTTTTTTTATATTACTTTTTTATATTTTCAATAAAATTAAGTAAATCTGAATTGAAAAGTAAAATTAATTGAAACAATGAAATTGTTGAATTAAAAAAAAATGAAATTAAAATATAACAATGTATTTAAACAGTCTGCTATCTTGAGGTTACTCAAGAAATTAATAAATTTCCGTCTTTAGAATCTACCATAATTACATAATATTTCTACCGTGAAATTAAAAACAATAAATATTTAAATGACAGTGTAGAAATAATTACATTCGTTAACATGTTAAAAAAATGTCACATTAAATCACAAAACTTTATGATTTACAATTTTAAGATTTTTAAAGATGAATTTTTAATTTCTTATTAATAAAAAGAATAATATGTTTGCATTCTTTAAAAAAATTGCGAATAAATACATTTAAAAATATATTTTAACGCGATTATACTTGAACTAAAATAGCTGTATACGCATATAGTTTATACATTATAAAATTTCAATTTAATTTGAATGATGAATTAAACATTTGCAATAAAAACATTGATGTAAAATATTTTATTAGTATTTTTTAATAGTATTGGTTAATTGAAAAATATCTTGTAATCTTTATTTTTAAATCTTATGAATAATAAAATTTGCAT